TAATTATAACGTGATTTGGTAATTGTAAAGGTTATCTCGGACTCCATTGTGTGAATAGGTACGCGTTCGTTAATAACAAAAACTATAGTCATATTAAAGAACGTTAATTCGATAGTAATCCCTACGGAAACTTGTTGCGTTATTCGTCAATAAACGATATTTTAGGTAGTAAAACCGTAGATCTTACACTACTAGAATGCTCTTATCATACATACCTAATATATATTATAATTATTTATCCGTGGTCCTTGTCTAAGGAGTAGGATTAGGTTTTAATTTTTCTGATTTTTTTTTTTTGATATACCAAAAACGTATTTTTCGATTTTTTTAACGCCCTTTTCATAAAACACCGTCGAGTTATAAAATGTATCGGATGATTATTTAACTGTTTTAATATTTATATTAATGGTTTTTCATAACATCAATAATGTCATAAACGAAAATTGCAGGATAAAATTCTAAACCCACATAACATTCACCGTTAACATTTACATACCTACTACACGAATGTAGTCGCGCACAGACTCCAACAATTTGTAGGTCCCCGGTCCTACAAACACGAAATAACGTCGCGTGTGTGTGTGGCAAAACCGGGCCGTGTTTGAGAGGCGAAATGTTTTGAACACCGCCGATGACGACGCTATTTATTTTTGACGTCGCGTATAGTGTGCGTATTGTTATGGACCAGTGTTACGCACGATGAATGCGTTTTACATTGTGCGGCCGGCCGAGGGGAAGAAGGACGGGTTACGCGACGATTTATTATGATGATAATATTTAGGTACCTGTGGTTTTCGAAAAACGAAAACGTGCGGGCGAGTATGCGGAATTTTTGTTTTCGGGCCGAATAAAATGATATTACAGAGTCAAGCGAGTTTACCGCGAGAGTACCCATCTCATGTTCCAGATCGAATGCAGTAGGACGATACATATTTCCAACGTAATCATATGAAAAACAGTTTAGATTTTTCAATAAATTACAGGAATGAAAATTGAGACTGGATACCGATATCGTCTATATTTGTTTCGCATCTAGGATTTTTTAAGATATTTTATTTTGTTTTTCTTTGTTTCCCCTACCGTAACCTTGCCCCCCTGACACTAGATACAAGATACAAGATAAATTCCACATTTTCCAAAAGATACTAGATACTATTTGATCTTCCCCTTTAGATACTACCATATTAGATACTAAATACTGTATCTAAGATAGATTAATAATAAAAACCCTATAGTATATGTTCGCGTATGATGTCAGGTTTTAACTTTGTTTCTAACGAAATAAAAGCGTTACGCATATTGTGAAAAAAAATAAAATCTACTCTATTATTACAATTATTAAACGAAATACGGATATCGCAGAATGTGTAATATCGAAAATGGCATACAATCGCCGAAATGTAACCGCTGTAATGCGACAATTGTCGTGAATAACGTTAGAACGGAAAAATAAACGGATCGCGATGCGTATCCAGCGTCTAGCACCTTTACGGAACAGAAAACAGCTACAAGACGCGCCGGGAAAAATAGGCGTCTCCGAATGCAAGATACCGGATACCGTAAATTGAGTTCAAACGAAACGGGACACAAACGCATGCGAGATACGCGGGCCGGACACGTCAGACGGCATCTCGAACGCTGCCCGTCACTGTTTGTGCGCGGGCGGTGCAGCGGGCGCCGAATAACAACCGACGGTCGCGGGTGCGGGGTGGAGGCGGAGGGGGGGAAACGGCGCAACGGGCCGTGTGCGCGAACCGTTTCGCCGCGCGGAAATAAAACGGCACCGGCGAATATTATTTTCATCTATCCTTCCGGGAGTCGCGCGCGCGCGTTTTTCGCGCGGGAAATAAAACGGATCGTCGCCCGTCTGTCTTTCTCGCGGGCCCGCGCGCCGGAACGCGGCGTAACCGTACGGAACGCGCGTAACATATTTTATCCCGCGGGGTGACGGCGGCGCGACGACAACGACGTATTGGCGTAGGTGTTGCCGCGGCGCGCCCGCGCGGGACCGTCCCGGCGACATTAATAACTGTCCTCGCCGACAGCGCAGTTCTCGCCCGTCCGTTATTTTTGCGGGCGCCGCGGGCATTCGCGTTTCTGTCGGTCGGCCGAGGTCTTTTCTCATTTCGGATCCCGCGTGCGGCGTAGAACGCGTTTCGGTCCTGCAAAGGCGTTTATTTATTATTTTTATTATTATTATTATTTTTTTTTTTTTCTACACTGCGCGCAAACAAAATAACCTCGATCCGAAGTGTCAAGCGTAGCGACTTTTCTGAACGGGAATTTTCCCGGGATGGTACTTCGGGAAAATCGTTTTTTTTTTTTTTGATTTTCCCAGGAGTTTCACCCGATAAATCGGAAGGACCGGACAAAAACCCGAGGGAAAACGGGGAAAATGTACGAAATGTACATGGTGAGGAAGTCACCTCTTGATTTTCCCAGGAGTTTCCCCCGATAAACCGGAAAAACATGATGAAAACCAGTAACGCCGGAAAAGTAGACACAATTAAACAAATATTATTTAAGAAAATATATAATGCATGCGTAATTATTTTACAATACCTACTGACTGATCTAGTCGACGGTCCCGAGTCTGTGTAAAATTAAAACAGAACCGTTCTTGGTTAGTAGCTTTGTTTTATTACTATGGATGAAAATTTATGTATTGGTTTCAGTGTACAACATATTTTTTGACATCAAACTTTGTCCATTGATAGTGCATTGAGGTCATTTTTCTTGTAGTTTTATATATAAATGTGCAATATAGAGTTCATTATTTTCCTTATTTATTTATTTTTTTTTTTTTTTATTGTTTGTTGCAATTTGGTTAAAAATTATCGAAGAAACCTGACATTTTTATAAAATACTTATATTAGCCTCTTCCATAGACATGGTAAAAAATTGTATTTTATTTTATAGGCGCTAAGTTAATAATTATTAGCACTTTATATAGGGATTGTAGGATTGTAGGTACGAGATTTACTTGGTCGATTGTTCGAACATTCCCGAAAGTACTTTTGGTTTTAGAAATTTGCGTTATTTTTTTATTTATTTATTTTATGTCCGTAACTATTTTTTTCGGATAGGCAGTAAAAAAAAAATCATCGGAAACTTTCACACCGCGTACCTGTACTTTATAAAAGATGCCGATTTTCCACCAGATGTTACTTTATTTGAAACATTTTTCTAGTGTATTATTCTCATTTCAAAAACAAAAGTTTATATAAACCACGGCCGGGATACTTCCAAGAGGATATAATAACAAGTATTGGAAAATAGATTTTTTATATTATACAGCACATAAGTTAAACATTTTCTAAAAACCGTAACTTTAAGAGGCAATTTACTGTCTCGGTCTAACTACCAGATGACATTAGTAAAATCATCTCACTATGAACCAAAATTGCGTAGTGTTCGTAGTGTTTAGAACAAGAATTTTAACAGATAAAAAAAAAAATTAAAGAAGATAATATTTTTGGGGGCACCGTGTTGTTTTTTTCTTCGGCGAAAAAGCTACGACTAACTAACAAAAAAGAGCTGATTTTGGGGACGAATGCGGCCACTGTTGTACGTGGGTAGTGGGTATTAAGTTATTTTATATCTGTAACCTATGATCAATCATTGATAACGATAAACGATTTGAAGAGAAGTTCGGTAACACGTATTAAACTCTTATGAAAAAGAAAAATACTACATTAAACTAATTTTTTTTTTTTTTACCACTAAGTACCAGAGTACCTACTAAATAAAAAATATGTAAAAACTCACAAAATTAAAATACCTATAAATAGCTTAATTTTTTTTTAAAATGTTTTCACGTCTAGAAAAAGTAAGTATACATTTTCTGTAAAATTGTCAAGTCAACAAATCTTTGAACCTGAATTACAACAATAAACAAAATTAAAATTAATAAAAACATTATTTCCGTAAAATGACCCGTTTGTCAACGTTTTTTGTGGTTATGCTCAATTATTAATAAATCTACAGAGAAATTCAAAAAACAAATAACCTACTCGTGGACAACATTAAAAATGCAAAAAAAGGTCTCTTGTCGTTAATCTATTGGTGCAATATTTATGATAGGAAACATGAGCCGTAAAAATTTAAAATAAAATAATGAAATTGTCGTGCCATAATTTGAACAAAATAGTATATGTTTCATATGCTTTGGTTATTTGAAAAATACTTTAGATACCAAAGAACGACCTAAGATTTCCGTAAAAAAATATTAATAGAAACTAAATCAATTACTTGTCATTTTTCAATTGAAATAATATTTCTGGTAGAAAACTTAAATTATTAACAAATATTAACGTTTGTTTAAGCCGGTGAAAAAATTCGAATTTCGTTATGATATAAATTTAGGAGGGGACAGCTATCATGTGTGACAGTGTGAGATGTGACAAATTCAAAGTATTAAGTTGTCAAGCTAAGTGTACGCGAATTAAATCCGCTGTCATTATTCTACTACTATGCTTAAAAATTAAATACCTAACATTTAACAATTAATTAAGTTTTAATCGTTCAACCTACCTACTAATTTTTGATTTTTGTAAAAAAAAAAAAAAACATTGTTGAAATTAATTATTTATTAGGCAGGGGTTTACGGAGAAAGATTGAATATAAATGTATTGGAAAATTAAACATTTCACTGCACCGCCAGAAATCGAGGCCAATTTACGCCGCTGGTTATCAGATCTTTTTTGTTAAATGATATTAATTGTTGGTTACTGTTTGTCTGTTTATCATCCACGCAAAAAGGTAAAAGAAATAAAAAATACGGTTTTAATTAATCAAATAACTGTTTTATTACTTATCGAACTTCTCAATTTAATTCGACTGCAATTTAACATTATTCTCTAATTATTCTGGTATATTTAGTACGCACAATAATATAGTACAATAATTTTCCGTTCGGTTGGTGGCTACACCACTTCTCCCGCGTATGCCCTTCAACGATTCTCCGTTATCAACGATAAAGCGGTTTTGTCGTTCTTATCATTCGATCCGCTCTTAACATATGTTACATTTTCTAATCACAATATTGCATTTAATTCACGAAAAGCATAAAATCTGTACCTATAATTTAGAAGTTTTCGTACAAAGTGTCGAAACATTTAAACATTTTCCAGTCTTACGCACCGCCGCGGCCGCCGCCATGCCTTTGATCAAGTACACGTATTACGATACACCGGACGGACATGACCTGGTAAAAAAATTGATCTACACCAACAAACAGGTATCGATCATTGGTTTTGGATTGGCGACGTCCGAAATTATTCTCATCAGCAAACCATTCGGATACCTCAACACCCTGTACAGGTACGTAGTATTTATATTTCGTACTTTCGTTTTATCTATATAAAATATTTTTGTTACTGCAGATACAGTCAATTGATGACACCCATGTTCGCGGCTACTTCGACATTTTGCATCGTAACGCACCTGGCTACTAACATACGAGGCAAAGACGACGAGAAAAATTACGCCATTGGTGGATTTTGTGCTGGTGCCATAGTCGGCCCAATAATTAAGAACAATGTCATCGGTTTTGTAGCGGCCGTTACATGCGCTGTGATCGGTATTATAAAGAAGAACTCCAAGGTTCACAACTACGAATTGTTGCCCACTTTCCCAGAGAGCCGCAAGGCTATACATGGTGACTTCAGATCGGTTTACAGAAATTGGACGTTATACGAACAACGTCCCAAAGGATGGATAGCGGCCGAAGACCGAAAGGAATGAGTAACAATTTTACTAATTTACAGCCATTATATTATAATTAAAATATGTGAGTTCAATATTAAAGTAGTTATATTAAATATTTACCTATTAATAAATGGTAATATTTGTTTGATTTATTATTTTAGTGTTATGATGTCGATTACAAAATATAAGTAGTGATCCCATTTTACCTTTTATTATGTTATTATTTTTATCGTTTTTAAAATGCCGAATTAATAATAACTTATTTATCATGCAAACCTAAACCTAAAGATATAATATAATATACCTATCTAATACCTTTGTTTTTTATTAAGTTTTTTTTTTTTACACTAATTTAAAAATGATTTTATAAAACAAATGTACAAAATTGAACAAAATATTTTTCCAAATAGTTAATTTCATTAAAAGGTCTGAATATTTGCATGACTTGTTTTAATAGAAAAAAAAATCCTTCTTGTCTATCATAATATTATATTTAGAGTAGGTTTTATCTAATTTGGAAAAATACTATTCGGTAATCTTTAAACAAATGTAACTACCCAGTGGCGTTTGCGAAGGGGTGAAGTTAAGGTTTGTATCCCCCCTCTATTAGCTTGAAATACAAAAAAATATGAGTAATCTAATTTCGAAAAGCATGTATTTTAGCCAAATTATGTGGATAAACTTGACATATATTGATAAGAAATTGGCCTTTTTAGACAACGATTTTTAAATTGCCAATTATCACTGTCGATTTGGGTAAAGAAGATAAATTTATGATTTATTCACAATTCTTATCTTTACCCTCCCATTTATAATTCCTGGGCACGCCACTGTAACTACCTCTATGATAATGGTTATGTAATTAATCATGATACAAGTAATTTTCAGTAAAAAATCACTCAATAAAATAACGACAACTTATGTTTATTATAAATTACAGTAAACCTGAAAGGCTAATTGCAATTCAATGTCTAGATAATAATTTAGATTATAACAAAATAAATGAGTATTATAGAAATTTAGCGAAATAAAGTTATTTTAAAGAAATTTACATAATCTTGTAATTACACTAAACTTGTTGATTGGTAAGTAACCTAAGAAAGTAGGTAATGAAAAAAAAAAGAAAAGAACTATAAATTAATAATTATACTTCAGATTAAATCATAATTTTTTAACTTTTACATAAAAAAAGAACAATTTAAACTGTTAAAAAGTTGTAGATTATTATGGGTTATTATTCAAGGCTTGGAACTTTTTACAATTTTCTAATGATACTTAAGTGTAATGATAATTCTGCCAAATATTATTTTAGACATTTCCTTTTGGTTTCACAACACATTTTAGTTCCCCATTTACATAAACCACACAATTTCTTGATGTTTTGGGTATATGTCCCTGTAACCGAATCAACAAATGTATAGATGTAGTCAACAATATTATGTTGAAATCCTATTTTATAGGAATATATTTATTGTTTATATTTTTGTTTTTCGTATTTATTTGACGGGGAGATAACAAACAAGTGCTTTCATTTAATAACTCATCATATAAATAAAACTAAGCATGAACTTAGGCAAATTAAATTCAATCAACATATTATCACCCTTATGTCACCATCTTTGAACAGTAAGTCAGTTTTTAATACCGATTTGGGCTGCAAATTAATTAAGGCTGACATTCCACTTACTAAATTAAAATCTAACTTTTAAAATGTCACACAAGAAATTCCAAATTAATATAAATATGTCATGTAATATTTATATAAAATTATATCATTTTTTTTTTGTTAGTAGATATATATATTTTAATTTGATAAATGGCATAATATTTTATTTTATTTTTCTGATAGCTTATAGACCTGGTTCGGTCATCAAGTGACAGGATTTTAAATTCATGTCCTTAATAAAAGAAACAGATAGTGAATTTTTATTTTTACCTAGTACAACCATGTACCTCTTGTAAATTATGACAATATGACCCAATCATATTTTCACCCTTCAAAAAAAATTGTGTTTCGATCTTAAAATCATAACTCCATATTATGCCATTATTATTACACTAAGCCAACAAAAGACTAATATTAATGATTGTTATACAGACATTTAGCGTTATACTTGGTTTTGTAATATCAAATAACAATAATACGGGCATTTTAAAAAATACTTTTTAAATTATTCCGTTCTCATTAAACTATTGTACTTCGTATTTTCTATCCTACTTGTAATTGTGAAAATTAGGGAGGTCATATTTGTGATTTTTCAATCGGTTTTCATAGTGACTGGGAAAAACCTGTATAAAATGCCGTAAAACGGAAAATGTGCGAAATATAGGTATTAGTAAAAAAATATGGCATTTTTTTTCTGTGTACAACTTTTCTACCAGCAATATTGCTCCAATTTAAAATTATAGCACTTTTTTCTGAAATAAATCTGACTGGGAAGGTACTTCATGGAGGTCATTTTTCTATTTTGCAAGAGTTTTCCTAGCAAATGTAATTATCCGAGGAAAAAACACGGGAAAACCGAGAAAAACGCAGAAAAATCGATACAATTTAAAACAAATATTATTAAAGAAAATTATATTATGCCTATTTAATTATTTTACCATAATATGATATATAAATTGTTGACAAAGCATCACTATCAAATGAACTGCGCTCAGAATCGTTTTTTCGTTAGCAATGGGTTATCGTTGCTTACAGATTTACATTAAATTACCTATAACAGTAGTTGCACCCGTCTTCATTATCCTAGGACGTTTTTTTTATGTACTTTTTTTTCCGGGTTTCCTCAATGGCTATGATAACTGGTTAGAATATCTAAAGCTAAACACGACTTCCTTACCATCAAACTTAATCCATTATAAAACGAAAAAGTTCTCTTGTCATTGTTTGACTGGAGAAATATTTCTGGTTTTTATCAGTTGTTAGCGGCAAGGTTAGGTGCGTTCTGTGCATCCGGCGTTTTTTTTTTTCTCGATATTCTAATATTTCCAGGCGAGGCGTTATGCGAGTAACTGTATTTATATGAAAAATAAATCGGAATTCAAAAACGCGCGCCGGTAATACCGAAGGGAACCCACCCCTCCTCCCCTCCCACGGATATACACACACACACAAAATGCGAAAACGTTCTTACCCTTGGGTTTCGACAATAATATGATAGCGACAGATTGATCTAAATATTGTAAAACTAACAGCGTACAATAATATTATTGTCATTGCTATAGTAAACACAACCGTGAGTTTAATGTAAAACGAGCCCCGGCGTCACAAGACGTACTCTCTCAGTTTTCTTTTGTTTTTTGCGTCGCGAGTTATTAAGTTGTGTAATTCTACTACGTGTTCTACACACGTGTTGTGTACGCACGGATATCGTTCGGGGTAGTATACACAATGACCGTGTTTTACGATAACAACACGCGTCATAATATGATTATTGTCGGCGCATTGAGAAAGTCGATTTTTTTTCTTAAGTAAATCGAAAAAACTAGACGTTTTTGTTATAATTATTGTTGATTTCTGGGTTACCTTAGAACAAGATGGGGGAAAAATACGAATAATAAAACTCCTCGGAAACGGTTTTGTTTTTTTCTTTTTTTTCATTTCGTTACATATACCTACGAAATATAAATCAAATTACTCTATATCAAATTGTGCTCCCCGCTTACTTCCCTCCTTGAACAATTGCATGCCCATCAGTACCTATCGGAATTTTTTTTCATTTAACATTATAGCCAGCAAAAAAAAATTAGTATTTAGACCCAGAATTATGCGACACATACCGTGCTTTTGAAATTAGTAAAGTACAAAATCCTTTTTGTCCCGTTCGAATTATTTTTGCTTCAGAACGTAATATTATTGCTAGTAAAACCGAAAATGCCTCAATAATGAAATGTATTGATTATGATTTAGTGTCAACCGTTAAGGTTAAAAATCCAAAATCCGACGACGCAAATGAAGATAAATAATAATTTATAATACGTAATATTTCATACAATAATTTGACCACAGATTTAATTCTGTTACTTTTCTATTACTCCCTGTAAGGATGTAATATTGTTAGTTGTTACACAGGATTTCGCTGATCTGTCGTGATACATTTTATGTAATTTTTGGTTAATGGTTTTTTTTTTATAAATTGTGTTTACTTCTATATAATTATTACAACTATCAAAATATTCCTGTGTGAGCACTTTATTCTATATATTAACAATTAATATTGATTACAACAGAAATTATGCGTTTAATTTCCTTTAGCTAATTTATTATTTTTTAGATTCTAAATTGAGCCAAGAAGGTTTATGATTTTACAATTATGTTTATTTTTTTCTTTAATGTGGACAAATGTTCTTTTAGAAATCTTCTAACGATTTTTAGGTGTGGCACTTTTTCTGAAAATAAATAGGGCTAGGTAGGTACTTTAGGGAGATCATTTTTTGATTTTCCCTGGTGTTTTCTCAATAAATTGGAAAAATGACGGAAAGACGAGAAAATAGGTACAATTTTAAACAAATATTATCAAAGAAAATGAATGATGCCTATTTAAACACGTACAACAATACATTTTACGATTCCAAGGTCAGCAATATCGTTTGATACGGCGTTTTACAAATATATACTAAATTTCCCCTCTACTATCTTCCCAACTTCTCACTTACAACAGTGGCCAACCCATATGTGAAACATGTCCGTATTTTTAATATTGTCATGGTTGTGTGTATTAAGGACACGTTGGGTTTGGGATGAAAAAGAAATTATAAGACTGACCATATTATTTTTTAACGTTTGTTTATTTGATGATTGCATTTTTTAACTTTTAAGAGTATACAAATTACTTAGCGAAAATATAACAACACATTTTTTATTCGTTTATAATATATGTAACACATATTATGTATACCTATAACAAATGTTCGGTTATAACGAGCCGGTCGTTATATTTTGTTGATAAATAATAAAGATTTATATAAATTTTATCTTTAATTATATTGCTTTTATTATTTTTTTGTTATACATAAACGTAATTTCTATGAGTTCTGACGGTTTCAAATGTACAACAGGTGACCACGAGTATAACAATCACCGTGTTCGTCCATTAATAATATAAATCAAATAGAACACGAGTTTTATATTGAATAGATAGGATTTTTTTTAAAATATGTTGAAAATTATTCAAAACTTGAGCGGATAGACCCACTGGGATTTTCCCGAGAACTTCCATAAGTCAACAGAATAAACTGATGATTTCGATCATTTTTCAGTAGGCTCATGTGCGAATCTCAGTCACCAATGCGTTCGTGATAAATAATTAATTTAAATCACGAACCAGTTTAGTTTCTTTTGTGTAGCTCCGTGTGTTGAAGGCTTAAACGCTTTAAAGTAAATCTTTATTATGCTTTTAGTTAATATTTATAATATTTATTTTTTTTTTTTATTGTTTGTTTTCCATATGTATTACTACTTACTTATTAAAATTGTTTTAGCGTCAATAAATATATTACCATTATTATTTTATTTGTTTAAAGCAGGGGGTAAAGGGTGTACATTTTAATTTTGCCAGAAGCTCTTTATTAAATGGCCTGCAGGCCCTACTCATAACTATTATAACTATTTGTAATTAAATGTAGATTTAATTTACCTATATTATAATATATTTTATATTTATCTAAAAAGTAAAATAATTGGAGTAAAAATATTGATTATTAAATCGAATAGCAAATACAAAGAAATTTGATACCTACTTTCAATACAAGTAGATATATATCATTCCCGTGAAATATTTTTAATATTATAAAAAATCTGCAAATTTTCACCACGAGAGAATTTATACCGTGCAACGTTGATATTATTGGTTTTTTTTTTTTTATTTTTGGACACCATTACTACACTACAAGAAAAAACTCCAGTCCAAAAAACACGAAAATATTAGATTTTAAATTAATAATGCGGTTTTTTGAATAATACCAAACAAATAAAAGTAGTTCCAACACTAATTGATTTTTCCGTGGGCTAATAAATTACCAACGACGATATTATTAATAGTGTCGACGTTCTAATTTTCTCGAACGGGTTTTTTGAAGTTGTTAATTGTTATCAAATCAAAGTAATTATTGACTTTTAAGAAAAATGAATAAATTATAAAACACACCGAGGAGGAAATGGGTAGCCTACTCGTGACCCTCCCTGTCTGATAGCAATCCTATACGAATTCCAATACAAACGTAACCAATACCAACATCATGCCTCTGTACTTGTCTTCGGATATCACAACATCCGAGAATATCGAGAAAAATATACTTAATATTATATACTCACTCATTTTCTATTTCCGAGAAATTTTAAGCATCACGACTTGTAGGTACATTTTTTACTTTCGTGTTTTAAAACAAAATGACAATCTTACTGGAAATCGTCGTATACTTATATACTTTACATATTATTTACACGTCTACAATTTAAGCATTACCACATTAATTAAACATAGTCTTGCGTCATTTAAAATTGTATTCTATAGGTACACTACAGGGTTCTTAGCGATTTTTATAGACGATAAAAAGGTTGATACTGCCGATGGATGCGCCACTATTTCAGGAGGAAAGTTTGAAGGGAGGATATATGTATCGAGTAATTTAATTAATATCTGTATGCAACGATAAACCATTGCCAATGAAAAACGATTCTGAGTAAAGTATTATTAGTCACATTTTTCCCTTGTCGCTACAACTCATGTACCAAGGTAGCCTAAAAATCAGCAACATTTATATGAAATTGTCCAGTTTTCCGATTTATTAAGAAAACTACAAGTAAATTAAAAAAATGACCTCATTAATGCACTAACTAGATCAAAAGTTCTACAAAGAAGTTCGTATAAAGTTTTAAAATTACAAAAGTTGCGTTCTTCTGTGGGAAGGGCGGACAGTGTATATTCCCTCCGGTAATTACGTAACTGGTTTAAACGCCATTTAAATGGTCACTGCAACCACCTTATAATAATAGCCTGTCGATAATTTTTTCATTATATTTGTTTAATATAGTATGTCTATTGTTTAGTAGCGTTTCTCAACCTTAATATTATGGTGATTGGTGACACACTTTTAAAATATTTCATACTTTGCGACACACAACAGAGAAAAAAAATAAGGATAATGGTAATATTTTATATTTAATTTGATTTCGTAGTTTAAAATTAAATAACAATGAAAAAATATAACATTAACAGACATATGGTTTATTAATGAATAATTTGAGATTGATATTTTTTACATAACATGTTCAAAACTTTGCGACATTTTTGACAAGGCGACTTATTTCCTCTTCGGTGTTAAATTTCCGTTCCCTTTTTTCTTCTATGTTTCGTTGAAAGCAGAAAAAGCTATCACATACAAGTATGATGATGAAAATGGTAATAACACGAAAAGTGCTAATTTTTATGAACTTGAATATTTTTGTTTGTGTACCAAAATTCGCCTATCTTGACCTCGTTAAACTTTATTTGAACAATGCGATCGATTTTTTACTCTGCAATTTCTTTTCCCATTATTCGTAGAAGAATCGTGGATTCCAAACTAGAATTAAATGGATTTCCAACCCAATCAAAAAATTTACAATCTATAAAACACATTAAAATAAACGAAAACATCAATGAATTAATGGTGGCCACGTATTGAACAATGGTTACCATACGGGTAACATACTTTCATTATGATTGGGTTGATACGTGTTGATAATAGATAATTTATTTTTTATCTCATCCGACACATATGGACTTATCCGGTGACACAGAAATGTGTCGCGACACACTGGTTTAGAAACATCGACTCTATTAAATAATACATTTTTCAAAGAGTTCACCGATCTGCCAAATAAAATGCTACCCGGTGACCCTCCCATGAAAAAATAAAATAATTCACCGATCTGTCCGAAATCTTTATTAGGTGCTGCCGGTTTCGTTAAAACGACGCCCATGACCGGAAATAAATTTCCCCTAGTCTCGTTTCGTGTCTTTAACACTCGCCCCGCCCAAATACAGGATACAATACTTTCGGACGATTTATACAAAGTCCATAATTTAACGTCAGCACCAACAACGATTTCTATGCTCGTATGGTCGAGGACTAGTAAGTGTAACTACATGGAAGACCGGATAGGAAATTGTCTCTCCAGCGACTTTATGGAGATTTTCACAATTTTATTTGTATATTATTTTACGTTACAAACGTAACGTATAATCCTTATATGTTATTTCATGATAAGGGAATAATTAATATGAGACCATAGGAACCACGAGACTGTACTCGTAAATTTATTTCAATATTTTGCATTTTTACTATATAAATATTAGTTTTTTTTTTCAAATCTTGTTAAAATTGATTATACGCATCTTTTCAAATATACTGTTGACGTATTATACATAATATTATTATTCTTTATATACGAAAAAACCTATTCGGACGAAACGTAGTTTGGAATCATTCATATTTTTAAATCTCATTACAGATTCCGAGCAAATCTATTATAGTTTTCAATGAAGTTTTTTCAGAAACGTCCGAAAAGTTTCGTCCCGCATCTTCTTATGGACAGGCAAATGAACACAGTGTGTGGGCGGTTCTCTAGATGCATTATTTGTTTTGTAATTTTCGACATACCGTACTGAAAAGAACATATCAATTTTAGTTTTCACTGAGACTCAAAAAAAATATCTTCGCAGAATTTCAATTTTAGTTATATTAAAAATGCTTAAAATTTCATATCGAACGTTCATGGCATGGTGATTTGAAACAATTTTCATTTATTCCTCGTTTTCCCTTATTACTGCTGTATAAATATAATTTTTAAAATATCTAGATAAAAATACATAATACTATTTATATACATACTAATTTTATACTTAATAATACATAACCAGCACATTTCTATCAAGATAAAAAAAAATATATAATTTTGTTCAAAACACTAAGCGCTATAAATAGTAAAAGTTTACCAGATTTGGTACACATCTAAATTTCAATTAGGTTATGTGATTGATATAACTTAATAATTAATTTAGTGAGTGATATTAATATAAATTAAAAATGTTTAATTATTATTTCTAATAAATATATAAGTTATGATTTAAAAAGATTTATTTAGATACATTCGTCTAGATAATCCTGTTATTTATCTATATAAAAAAAAAACATTAATTATTATTACGTCATAAACTTTATAGGAAGGGTAAATAAAACAAAAAAATATTGATTACTATTGATTATGAACCTATACTTATCACTTAGTATCTACTTAACTTAGTTTAGGAGGGGTCTAAACTCCATTTATACTGAGGTTGTATTGACGATGTTTGAGTTTTGAGTTTATATTTTGACGAAAATCGGCGTTTTAAAACATTTATAATCGAACATTACTCAGAATCCTTTTTCGTTAACAATGGATTATAGTTCCTTACAGTTGTATATTAAATAACTCTATATATCCTATCGTCCCAATTTCCCACCCACAATGGCGCACCTATCAGCAGTATCAGCTTTTTTTTAAATTTTCCATAACTTTTTTTTGAACATTTAATTTTACAATAAAATTCGACAAAAATATTATATTCGTTTACGGCTTAAGTACCTACTCGAATTATTAATATTGTCGAAAAATGATTGAAGTTTTTTTTTTTCTCTTAAAATGACACAATTCAACTTATATTCTACTTCTCGGCGAAAAGCAAAAATAAAAATTAATAATACAACATCATAATAATAATATTGTATACAATGGAAATCGTTCAAAGAGGATTTAATTAAAGAGATTCAGCGGGATTTCGTAGCCAATATACGTAGATAATAACATAATATACATAATACAATGAAACGATTAATGTATAAATGCGGCGTGTGTAAACAGACCGAGAATTTCATTTGAAAGAATAAGACGACCATAATATGATACAGGGGACGCGACAGTGAAAAATAATGCGCAGGATATAAAACGTCGAAATCGACCAGACGTAAAAGATCGTAGCTCGGTCGTACCTCGTCGTTTAATTCAAACGAAAATCGAACTACGATATTATAAAAAATTACTCATTTCTATATGATAGTACGATCCGTTTTACTTCTCAGCTATTAAAGTCGAAAAACAGCGTGCGTGACAAAAAAAAAAAAAAAACAAAATCGTGCAGATTTTCCAAGTGTTGGTTGTTAAAACTAATGACCACGTTTCGTTTATGCATTATATTGAAATCAATAATCTTATATTTCACTTCACTAATAATATCTTAAAAATTGCGACACATCTAAATATTACTGCAGTGACGCCGTGTATTTGACAGTTCCGTGGTTTGCTGAGAAAATACTCGAATCCGGGTAAGACGCAGAGAGCTTTTCATTCTGATTTTTTTTTCTCTTTTTAAATTACTCGTTAATCATATTTTATGATTAATTTTTTTTCCGTGTAAATCCTCAAAGACACGAACGTAACGTTGTTGTTCCGGCGACGGTCTAGTTGTTATTACGTCCGTACGATATTTTTTTAAGCCATTGCCCCGCGTAATCTCGTGCCATATGCGTTCCCTATAATATGCACACCGAGCTAATAATAATTAACGTATAATAATTATTTTTACTCGTCAAACATTTTCAACCCGGGTCTGTTTGACGGCATCGTTGACAGTGCACAACTATAGTATAATATATGTACGAGTGCAGTATTGGTTTTATAAAAATTTACGCAATAACGGGGTTTCTGTTATTGATTTCGGAGGTATTTTTTTTTATGTTTTAGATTCTGATCAAAGCGTTTGATTGGTTTTACACGATATGTGCTTCTTTTTCTTTCCTTTGTTTTAAATTGTCACTCTGTGAACAACTTTTACTGCAAAAATCTTGCTCCGATCATCAACTTTAAAAGTGGTTTCTAATAGCAAATGCTGTCGAAATAACTATAATAGTTTTTTGTTATCCTGTATCAGAGCGCCATTCAAGCGTCTCCGCAGTATTTTTCGAACGTCAAACAATCATTTTGAACGTCTCGTCTCCTGCTATTTTCGATACAGGTTGAATCGATTAAAATTCTTTCACCTTCATTCAAATTTGCTTTTGAATCGTTCGGTTTTCAGCCTCAAATACTTTTTTCATTTACCACGTAGTGCAATTTTTAATCATTTAAATTGTTTTATTCTCCTGCCAGTGTTAGGTATAAATAAATTCTTTAAAAACTTTTAAAGTATTTTTTAGTCAGAATAGTTAATTCATTTTTACTGCTGAATATAATACTATTATTTATACCGGCCGCGCCGAAACGTGAAAAATACTTGCCACCGTCGCGTGTCATTTGTCAGCATTAAGTATTTATTTTTTTTTTTTTTCAAACAAAATAAATCATTTAAAACAAAATATCAACTTAGTCAAGTTTGGCGCGTAATTATAGTATAAAAATTATTATTATTATTTTTTTTTTTATGCAAACATATATCAAACTGTAATTCAGGTTATTTATACGGAGTATACGCAATTGTATTATTAATCGCTTTCTACGTTAAATTTCAAAAAACGTAACGATATTTTTTCCCCTCATTATTCATAATATTGTAATATTTTATGTAAACTGTTGTTTTTTTTTTTTTTTTGTGTATCCATTTTTCTGATAAACACATTTTTTAACAATATCATTTAAAAACACTTCGACGGAATGATTAATAATCTAAAATATTATACAATTTTATATATTTATATGAGTTGTAATTATTGCATATTTATCATGGTAAAAACAATAGATCCCTCATCAATATATTTCGAATCTAAAAGAGCTATATGATACTGCTGATGGGTGCACCACTATTGTCATTGAGAAGTGGGGAATGTAGAGTATATAAAATTATTTATATTATATCTATAAGTAACGATAAACTATTGCTAAAAAAAAGTGATTTTGAGCCAATTTCGTTTATACATGATTTAAAAAATCGTAATATTTACGATTTTAATCAACATTACATCTTAAAACCACTATAAAAAAAATTCTACAAAACACATTACTCTTCTTTTTACCACATATATCAACTTATAATGAACCTCCTATTAAATTTTCTAGCATTTCTGTTAGGTTAAACAATTATATCCACAAAGACACATAGTACCTACCAAATAAAAACAACGTAAAAAATTCCTAAACATGCCTATAAATAGTTCAAAAATAGTAAAATTGTTTTAAAAATTTTACCACGTCTGGGAAATAAAATATGTATGTGTCGAAGTATCAAGTTTCTAAAAATATTTTTAACTAAATTAAAACAAGAAAACAAAATTTAAAATAACGAAATCATTATTTCCGTAAACTTTCCGGTTCTTTCTACGTTTTTTCCCGATTTTGGCCAACTATTAAGGAATTTACATAGAAAATCTAAAAGCGAATTTCTTATTCACGCACTAAATCTAAAATTTAATAAAAAAAAAGTCTCGTGTAATTTTTTGGTTTTCCAATATTTCTGATAGAAAACGGTTCGTACGGTTTAACAAATTTAAGAAAAACGGACATTCATACTGTTATAGGTGAAAAGTTAGGAAGGTAATATATATAGAGGAATTCAATTCATATATTTACGCAACGATTAATCATTGCTTACGAAAAACGATTCTGAATGAAGCTCGATCAATAATTTCTTTTTAAACAAATGTGCGTTTTCACGACAACGATCATTTAAAAAAAGATTAAAAGATCAAAATAATGAAAACCTATAATAACAAAAAATAAACAAAACCGGTTGCCAATAACAACCTTATAATGAATCTATTGATATTTTTCAACCAATAGATCCAACTTTTCCATGTTATTTCGAATATTAGTAAGAATTTCCAAAAAATATCCTTTCTAAAAACCAACAAAATTGCCGAAATCCAACAAAAACAACGTCTCTTATCATATTTTAAAGATTTTTAGAAAAAATGTTGTATATAGTATAAAAAAAACTAAAAATAAATATCATCATGAAATCATATTGCTATAAATTTGTCATTTTTCATTTTATGTATTTTTCCAATTATTATGAAAAATGTTTGGAAAATTAAAAAATGATTTACTTCCCTAGATTCTATAACCAAAATGTAACAAAAAAAGTTCCTTGTTTTTTTTCGAACGGAACAAGTTTTCTATTCGAGTATATAAGTTGTTTACAGACTAAAAAGGAAATTTAAATAAACCCAGCATAGTAAAATTAATGGATCCCTCACTCAGCTCTGAATCTAAAAAACATAAATAAAATTGTTGTTATTCCGATTTTTAACTATACCTTAAACACTGTTTCAATTACGCAAATAATTTGTTAAATTGCATGTATTCATTCAATTTTATTTTATTTTTTTAAAAATGCTTAAATTGTTTTAAGTTGTTAAGTGTTTACTGCATCGTTTATCGTACTCATATTATTATATTATTACGATTTCATTCGTTTTAATTTAAACGACAATTAAATTTTTTCATACTTATTTATATTATCATATTTAATTTTCCGAATCAGAATCGAGTAGATCTGATGTGTCTGAAATAATATTGGGATTACGAAAATATTATTTTATTAATACATTTTGCCTGGCCTCTTATCATTTTGCTAAAGACCGTAATTTTTCGGATTAAAAAAATACTAGTAATTCGATTAAGATAAGCAAATAATAATATAGCACCGCCTATCTTTATCTCTTTCTGTGACAAGGAAAAGCCGAATCGGTCGTTCGACAATAATATAACCAAAACATTCGAATTACTAGGTCAATGGGTCACAATAAAAATAAAATTCAAACTCGGTTTTATGTCTTAAATGTCTGCCTCCCGTTTCTTTATTTTATTCAAAGTAATTTATATACGAATTCTTTATATTATTATTACCATAAACCGCATAAAACAACTACCATCACGTTCCGTAATCGTCTGTGTCTGCGATTATTTCTTATTCCACAATTTCCAAATTCAAGATTACGTATATATTCATGGTGTTCGATTAAATTACATAAGAGTCTTCAGTTTAAGAATTTTATTATTGTGAATATAAACACACTCGAAAACATATCATCAAACTGTTCTAACTCTCTAGCCAAGGAGATTTTGAGTGTGGTCAATACGATGAGAATACGTCTAAATGTCTAAATGAATAATTATTAATTGCTAAATATCCGATTTATGCGAATGAAATAATTTAGAAAGTCCTAAAACTTATGGGTTATGACCGTGTGAACCTTTGAAATATTTCGTAGGACTTAAGATGGACAAAATATCAAACAATAATAAAGGTGATGTGTAGGATAACTATGTTCCCCTAAAGCCCAATTAAAACCGTACTTTTCATTTTGTGACAATTCTTAAATTCTTAAATCACGTCTTATCCACTTTTCTCGTCGGGTGTAAAAAGTTCTCTAATTCCCTGACGTTAATGAAAAGTGATTAAAAGATCCGGATAGTTTAAAATTGATGATTGAATTTAGAATGGAAAACTTGATTCACTTCCATATGAATACTAAATTCCCGTTTACCTTCACATTTTTCTACGATCGTGGGAAAACGGTCTGTAAGGATCGATGATGAACTGAAAAATAATTCGAATTTATGTTTTTTTTTCCTATTACTAATCGTCTGAAAAACCCCAATTTTATTGTATTCGCATAAGCATTGAATGACATTGAATTAATATGAGCTAGGATAGCTCACATTAATATACTTTCTTTTTATTTTAATTGTGAGTATAGTATAAAATATAAAAACAAAAATTATTTAAATAATTTATAATTACACAATTCGTACATAAAATCCCATTCGAAAAGGGAACATGGATAATAAATAAATAAAATATTCATAAATTCAAAATTAGCGTAACGATAAAAAGAAAAAAATACGTAGTTATCGTCAGGTACAATATATTAATATATTATCTTGTAATTGAAACAATTTTTTTTTTCGTTTTGATAATAAATAATATAAAAAGTAAAATATCAATATATTAATAAGTAACTTAAAATTGTATAATACAAATCTTACATAATATCATATACTTATTTACTTATTTAGTTTTTAACAGTATAAGAACAATTAACTGAATTGTTCCCGGATGGAGTTCAATTTGTTCTCGACCGGAGCGAAAAACACAATTAAAACTAACGCCGTTGTTATCAAAACGATAAACAGCACGTGAATGAACAACCAGAACTTTCTAAATCCGGAATGCTGCAAAAAAAACCAAATACAAAATAAAAATCGAAATAATAATATTATTAGATAAATTATTGGGTAGGTTTCAAGTGATTACGGCAATATTGGACGTGAAGAAATACTTGTTCATTGTGTATACGAGTTTATTTTGAAAATTGTCAAGATTTCAATATTTCTGGATAGAAATCTATATAATATTATATATATTTATATATATAACTAATGGTATAAATAATATATGGGTTTGAATGAGAATAGAATATCTCGTTCGACGTGATATAAGTTTACGGCTGTCCACTAAACCGTTGTGGTATACCACACTCAAAATAACAAGAGAAAAAACCACGGGTATATATTCAATGTTAATCAAACTAATTTTTTTTATGAGATTTTTTTCATGCTATATTTTATTTTTGACGACGGCGATAGACCGGTAGGTGAAATGATGGTGTAGGCTACTACGCGTATAAGAAAACATAAAAACTTCAAGTTAACTCATCGTTGTTCGTCAAAACATAAGATAGATTCGGAAAGTAAATATATTTTTGAGGTGTTCCCGGTAAACTAGATACATAGGAGTGTCTCAAATGAATTTTTGTTTTATTTGACCTTTATGGACCCACATAGTAATATTCAAAACCTTAGCATTCGAAATGTTCGTGTTTGTCTTACCGGTGCATCTTTGTGTTGTTCGTAACTCATCGGGTTCCTTCCGTTGTGTAGATCTTTCATTGGGAAAGTGTTGATGCGCATACTTCCAGATTTTTCACTCAGGCAACCGGATATCTAAATCGCAATATTGTTTGCACAGTTAGTTAACAAGAAAAACTGCGTGTAGTATTTAAAATGTCATTATCTGTACGTACCGACAGTATCAAATGAATGATTACGTAAAAACCAACGTACGCCACCAGTATCCAATCCATCCATGCGGGAAGTTCGGCTTTGCTGAGGGTAACGGCGAAAAATATAGTCAAAACTATAACACGTAAAAAACCGAGATTAGAATATATTAATGACGGCAATCGATTTTGAAACCACTGTCTGATGTCCTACAACTCGAAAATCGAAATTTTCGAGAAGATAATTTTATACTCACTGGCAAAAATGTGAGCGGCGTTTCCAACCAGCCAATGGATCCAGTTGAAAATCGGTCTCTTGGACGAGTCCGGATGTGGTCGGAATGCGGCGAAAATTGGCTGGAAGAACGCCAATGTCGTGGTGACGACTCCCATGAGGGCGTGTGTTTGACTAGGACCGGACACCCATTCTCCCAGTTCCACGAAGATGCACGCAGAACCGGCAAGGGACAGGATCCACGTGATCATCATCAATAAACGATGCCACTATGAGCGAAAAAAAATACAAATTAATATCTTATTAGGCAGTGATGACAATAATATTAACCGCGAGTCAAAAAATTCACACTGTTTGAACCGTGTAAACGAGACGCGATACGCAATGTTACTTGGCTAGTAAGTACAGTGGACGATAATAAATATTAACGTAACAATACGGTTATTTTGGATTATCTGACAGTCGGGATCGGCAACATCGTAACTGAATACACTTGGAAGTGTAATAAAGTCAAGACGATGTGATTAAAAACGATAAACCAAAACAAAACAAACAAAAAAACGCTTTCTCAGCGGCTTACCCCAAACCACAAGTCCTTGGAACAACACGATCCTCCGACCCACGTCTGTTTGTAGTACCTGGCGATGACTATACCGATGCTGGCCGCCCCGATCCAAGCGACGATCATAAACGAACCGTGTAACCTCAACAGTAATTTTGACGAGGTCCTCAGCGACTTGATTTCCGATAAGGTGCTCGCCTCCGCTGTCGATGTGTAGGCCAAGTCATGGTAACCCACACTCCGTTCTGAAGCGATAATGATAATAATAACAATAATAGTAATAAAAAATAATAATAATATAATCGATTTAATCTCAAGCGTCATTCATTTTAAAAATAATATTGTTACTATTAATCTCATAGGTACCTTTCAAGGAAGTGCCCGCGGCGATCAATAAAAAGTATTTATTTCGCATCAAATCAAAATTGACACCTTCCACCCGGGTGACTGCTTCTCGGATCACGTTACAATATATCGTACCGTCTATGTACGTAGAGTTTAATAACGTAAGTCCGCTTTGACTCTACGAAACGATAAAACACCGATAGTCAGAATCATAGATAGTAGGAATGAATTATATGTATAAAAAAAAATAAATAAAATAATCTAAGAAGAGATTTGATGATACAATGGTATAATAACATTATTATGCAGCAAACTTGAGTAACTTCTTAAAAAATAGAAGTATAACTAAGATGTATAAAAAATAATAAATTGGTACTGACATTAATTATTTTTAAGTGTATCTTTTAATCCAATATTCTTGATACATTATTCTTATAAGTATTAAAATTTACGTATGTTACTTACTTATATCTTTATTACATTTCTAAAAATGTAAATATCAAATCTTATTTTGAAAAACAATTTTTCATTAGGGAAATGTATGGTCTTAAAAGCCAAATTGTATGCAAAATAAAAAATGAGTATACCAATATAATTGTATATCCACAAAAAGTACACTTATTCCATTAGGAGAATTTTTCCTTGAGTGGATGTAACGAAAAAAGGAAAATGTGGAGGGCGAGAATAAAGGTATCTGACCCATAATATGCGAGCGGGACAAGGTTGAAGGGGAAGATGAAACAGTAGGTAGTAGGTACTCACCGTCAGCCGTTTGTTGTTCTTTTGGCCGGGCACGTTCCACGACATATAGGAACTGATCAAACCCGTTCCGATTTTTTCGTGGACGCATTCCATGACGCTGTCACCTCCCTGTTTGAAACACAGCGGTCGAAGTGAGTAAAAAACACAAAGATTAGGTCAGACTGGACGACTGCGATTGCCGCCCGTTTTCCTTACCATCTTTTGATCTTCCGATATGCCGACGGCCACATAAGCGGCGTTCCTGGCTTTCATTTCGAACAGGTATCTGGTCCCTTCGACTTTGACGGCCATCACCGCCGAACAGTCTTGCGTCGACAGGCATCCGTCCGGAGACCCGAAACACGTTTTCTGCTGACCACAGTCGTTGTAAAACGGATCGGCCACGCGCGCCGCTCTCAGCTGACCGAGTTTTCGTTTGTCGGTGCTGCTAATGAAAGCCACGTCGTGATAACCGACGCTGAAAGCTATTCGATAAAAACAAAAAAAAAAATGTACTTTATTATGAACGAAAAACGTTTCACTATTGATATGTACCTTTGAGCGAAGCCCCGGCGGCCAACAGGACGAAATATTCGTCTTTGTCCAGATCGAATGTCTTCTCGTCGACTTTGAATACGGGATCCACGATGACTTTGCAGTAAATTGCCCCGTCTATGAACGCGGCGCTCACCAATTCCACGCCCGTCGAGTCTTCGATACGTTGATTTTGCTTCCGGTTGGGCACGTTCCACGATTTGTACATGCTCACGCTATTGCTCCGGCCGCTCTCTTGGTGTACGCACTCTACGACTCCGTCACCTCCCTAATAAAAACACTAAAAGGTCAGTCCGGTGGTGAGTGGGCGTAGCATCATTGTGCCATGTCATTATTGAATTGTCGACCGTGTATAAAAGTTTAAATGCAGATAAGCTTAACCCGAGTGTCGACTGCGATATCCAAATAATTGTTATATCGAAATTTTACATGCACTTGCACA